GTGTAGGATTTTCTAAAATGACTTCTGGTGTGAATTTGAAGTAGGGTGTGGAAAAAGAATTGGTTATGTTGTGTGAAAGTTGTGCATGTTCCTGTTATGTGTTGTATGGTCTCTGGTTGGATGCGGCACTTGCGGCATTTATCGTTGGTTACTGTGGGGTCTTTGAAGACATATTTCCTGTAGTTTTTAGTGTTGATGATCTGGTCTTGTATTGCGATGATAAAACCTTCGGTTTCCGGGAATAGGCTACTAATTTTAAGCCATTTATTTCATGCTACTGTATATAAATGTGGTTATCTAGCTCATGTGGGTGTCGTCCCGTGCAGAACTTTCTTTTTCCAATCCTCAAACTATTGTTTTTGTGGATTATTAGTGTTACTGTGTTGAGGATCTGTCTGTTCATTTAGGTTAAGTGGAGTGTAGTTAAGATCATTTAGGGCTACGGCTTTATGAATGTGCTGAGTCTATTAGGCCGCTCCCTCCGTTTTGTCGTATGATTGTGAGACTTTCTATTGTGTTATACATTATTATTATTATGATAAAATAGAGCGCACTTTTACATAAAAATGCGAACTAATTGTCTACCTGAAAGAAAGTGGCTATTGCAGCCCGCGAACACCTACAACCAACTTTAACAATGAAGGTGGTTACAGATGCATTGTTACCACTAAGGAATTAGATGGAATACCTCTCAGTCTATAATTATACTGGCTTCGGTCAGGAATACAGCAGTGATCACGCTGCTGCTTAGCGGCAAAACTAGGTTAGAGGATCCTTGTCAGACGGTCTCCTCGACAGAACAGATGTAATACCACTTAGCGGCATTCTTCAAACCGGAACTCAAAAGGAGTAAGCACTTCTACTTGGCAACAGAAATAGGAGGTACCTACCCAGATAGACTCTGTTACATGAATGGTGCTCTTACAGCTTGAAAAGTGTGATGTAGAAGTCTTCTACTTGAAGGTTTCATTTTGCAAATCTACTAATACTTCAGATGGTCAGATATTATATACAGTTCGGATGTTTTATGCATTTGAATCCACGTAAAATAACATTAAACACATTTGTAATTGAATAACTGTACGGTTGGCCCTTTGATAGAGCAGCAGTTAAGCGTCTGGCTGAGGCAATGCGAAATGCGTATTTTAGTGAGGCTTGGAGCAAATATTTGGATAACCAACGAATAAATTGTTCCGGGTCAGGAAGTGTTTCAATGCTCCATGTACAAAATTTATATCTCTTTAACACATTGGTCGTTGTGGTGACGTAAGAGAATAAAACATCTCTCGTCCCATGGTTGACTTAAGAGACGACTTTAATAAAGACAAAAGAGACCTCGGAGCTTCCGATAGATGGCGGTATATTATCGTATATGTAAATTAGCTTTGATGCTACTTCCCAACGGGTAACTTATTTTTTAATAATTATCAAAAGTGCTAGACGTCTGGTACAGTGTTGCAAAGCATGGTCATTACAGCAGATCCTTCCTCACATCAGAGAGATTTATGCCCACTGCTCGATAAAGAAAAAGAAGAACGAATGAACTAAAAGAAGAATGACGGGCGTATGAATTTGAAGGGCATTAGAAGTTAAGACGCACTGCAATTATATCCTTTATAAATATATAATTGAGTAAGAAATTTAATTATCCTTAAAGTGAAATCAAATGTTTGCACAATTAGTGTTTCTTGAGAGACAGATATCGAGGTTATTTTTCCGAATAAACTATTTGAATTCGGTCTTGAAAATCAAATAGATACTCATTTATTATTTTTTAAATTTTCAAGTACAACTTTAAAATCGTAAAAGTAAACATTAGCTACAAAAAGATAAGGATGTCATCATTAGGTCGAGAACAGTCCAGTGTATATGGTCTTATAGTAAAAAACATAAGGCGTAATCGTTATATTTAGATTTTTTTGAATTGTATTGTAGCATAAAAATATATCATGTACACACAGCAAAAAGTGCGGATGAATTTGTAATAAAATTCATCGTGCCACCAATCTCATAGGGCAGAACGTCTACCGGGCCAGCTAATATAAACTAAATAACTTTCAAACTCTATATTTAAAATATTGCCACTTTAATCTGGCAAAATGTTTAAAATATTACTTTTAAATTAATTTATGTTTAATAACACTCAAGCTAAATGTTTAGCGGTGAAAAAATATTGTAAAGGTTTCTTTATTTTGCATGACAGTTTAGTTAATATTTTTGTTTTCATTACACACGAGTATACGTAGATAAACGGCCTTTGAAGGAATGGTGTTCGGGTTGGAATTATATTCATGACTTTAGATTAGCACCACAAATGAATCGGCGGAACTGTTGAATGGCCACGCTCTCATAAAATATAAGCGTGAAGTAGCATCTTATGTAAAAAGCGATTGTAAATAACCGGCAACTCTCTTTACTATTTTACGGGGTAACAACTCATCCGAATTTCGATTCTTCATCTAGAATAGAAGTAAGTGTTTATGGGCCTCTATATTCACTTCCCATCAGGTAGTCTGTTATGTGACTGATGTTTGTTACAATTCATTCCATAAAAAAGAATACCGTAAGATAAGTAGAACTACATTAGGGAATTTTGAAGAACACTCAAACATAAAACAATAACAGCGTCTGGTTTATGATGTTAATCAATAGGGCAAATCACGGTCATAGGCCCATAAAATTTCACATGACATTAGACATGGGTCTCTCCTGTTCTTGTGAGGATTTGCCTTAATTATCATGATTAGAATTACTAGACTCCTCACACATTGATGCTGCTGCACGTGGCTGGTCAGGGTATTTTAGGTCTGGCGTAAATTAGATAGTTATACCGCCTTTAATCGGAAGTCACAAAATCTTTGTATCATACCACATTGTCGCCACCTACAGAATGAAATGGAGTAATAAATTCTCTTCAGACGCACCCCACGGATTAGGGCCAATGATATGAATATCACTTACCCACCACCACCCACAAATATTGCCAATAACATTATGCCGGCGTTATGGCATGCCAAAAAGAAGACCATGAAATTCAGCATTCTTTTTGAAAATTTGTGGTTTATTTGTTTTGGAACTGAGACGGTTAGTTTCTGCACCTTACCTCATCGTTTCAAGTTCATTTTGCTTAATATTTTAATATCATTTTTAATAAATTTAGATCGTTCATTTAAGCTTTTTAGAAATTATTTATGCTGTTTAGGAGAAATTTTACTACCAAACAATATTCCATTGGTTTATCAGTAATTTAAAGGAAGCTTTATCCAATCCTTTTTTTATGAAGTCAAGTTTTAACAGTAATTACAATTAATTGCTTACCACGTTTCAATAAAAGCGAAACAATAACAAACCGTTGAATAATAATTAAAGTTAAAGTAAACATTGCAATAATATTATTTTACCGAAGATTTCAATATTTGCAATTGCGTTTATAAATTTACAGATTTAATTTACAGAGCGCTTAGCTCATAAGCTACCACGTATCATTGCCATGTTTGTCAAAGAATAATATGATAAAAAGGTAACCTAATATATTTGTACAAGTAAACATATTCTACTGTTCGTAAAATATTCTTAAATAAATAAGACATAAATATGCAATCCGTAAGAGAACATATCATGCCGCAGGTTTCAAGAGGAAACAGAATGAAATTAAATAGCAAATAAAGATCTCCTCTTATAATAACTCCAAATAAAAAATAAAACCTTGACAACCCAAACGTGGCAGCCATAGCAAATGTTCCCCGTTTGAGACAATCTATGGGGCAGGCCAATGTTCAGCAGTTGACTTACGATAGGTTGTAGTGATGATGATGAAACATAATATGAATTGTAGATTAGCGTATATAAAGCGTATTTTTACATTTTCTTCGACTCAACGATATCACATGACACGATTTGTTTAATAGGGAACCTAAGAAAATCCTTTTGAATAAAGTGATAAGTAAAATTATATAATATGTGTAAATATGACTATTATTGCCTAAATAAATATATCAGTTAAAGAAAAAAATTGCTTTGTCAGTGTCTACTAATAAACTAAAACATTTATACAGAAACAGTTAAAATAACACAATATAGGTACTCGTTTATAACAAAAGACCAGTTCATGATTTTCATATTTTTTTACTAAACTTAGAAATAAATTTCTCATGATTTTTTCTCTAGCTTTTAAATAAGATGTTTTGTCTATAAACAGTATTTTGTTTAATAGCAATATATATATATATATATATATATATATATATATATATATACATATTTTATAAAGTTGTGTTTGTATACGAAGTATAGCACCTTTTTTTAATGTTTTGTGAAAAAGCTTTTTGTCGGAAAATATTCCTCTGTTAAATAACGTTATCTTGAAAGTCATTACATAAATATTGCTCTATATGTTATATTATGGACACAAAAATTAATTTAACTGTATGCGATAGTAGTACACTATATGTTATTATAATTTACTAGGAAAACCGCGTCGAACTTTCGGTGTAAAACTTAACGTCGTCAATCAATGACTTCTATTAACCGCCAACCAAGCGCGTAAAGGTAAAGCTTTTACGTTATAGGGCGTTTGTAACAAGCGCCTGAAAACTTGTGCTAAAACAGAAACACTGCAGGCGTAGTCAATCGGGCGCGTTGATGTCTTTTTATCGTAATTTCGATCGGTTTTAGATTTGCACATGATGTAGGGGTTGAAACTGTACTTACAGCTGTTGCAGGTTGAGGGATCCAGTGCAGCAGCAGGAGGACGGCGGGCACGAGGTGGAGCGCGTTGGGGCGCGCACGCGCCGGGCCCGACATGGCTGCACCGCACTACTGGTGGCAGCGCCGTGGCCGGCCGCCGCGCCCGCCTCGCCACCTCGCCACCTCGCCGCCTCGCCGCAGCACCAGCGCGCGGGGCGGGGGTGCGCGAGCCGCCGCCCGGGCGCTCCTCTCTCCGTAGTATCCCGGCACTGACGCGCGCGCGCACGGGACTCAGGCGCAGCGCGCTCCGTGCCATGGCGCTCCACGTACTATGGTAACATTCAAGTCTTTGATCATTTCATGTTTTGTTTGTATTTTTTCGAAGCTATTCTAATTGTGATTAAATGGATATTTTAATATACTATTACACACTAATAATTATATTTTTTTAATAATTCCTAAAACCTATGTGTCCTGATTTTTTTATGTTCAATTAGGTTGGTGGCTATTTTGGCGCCTTTTGCAGGAGTTAGCACGGTAAGTAATTTTTTAATTATTTTATTTTTATTTCACATTTTTTCAAATACTATTAAACGTCGGCGAAATTGGGGAATGTAAAGGCGGGCGCAAGCGCGCGTCCTGACTCGCCAGTCCGCTTGTTTTCTTCTTTTTGCAATTTCTTCAAAATGCGAAACATATCATGCCTTTGTCGATCGCTAAAATTAATCAAGTTCAAGATTACATTAAAAAATCAAAAATTTTCACCATATTTCAATTTATCTAAATTGAAAGGTTCATAGTTTTCTTTAAATATATATTTTTTTCTTTTGAATACATTTTTATTTATTTTTTTTTTACATTTTGTTTGTGTCGCGTTATTACGGGACACCGACAAAGTTTATCAAAGTTCGGATGTAATGCGTCGGCATTGCGCAAACTACCAGCGTTTTAATATAAACAGAATATTTTTGTAATAACATCTAATAAAAAAATATTTTTACGTCCTTCAACTTAAGAAAGGTTCTTGAAAGGGATATTAAATGTATGCATATAGAAAACTCTAAGTAATTACAACTACTATTGTAGTTAAGCTAGAAATTTTATTTAATTTAATTTAGTGTTGCAGACTGTCGTCCATTGCTGATGATAGGCCTCCCCGATTGACTAGCTCTTAGGGGAGATATTTTGTTAGCGCGCAGGTGGATGGCAACCACATTTATTATTAGGAAGACGTTGCTGCTCACCCTCTTAGTTTATTTCGCTCTTTCGCCTCTTACAACGCTCACGGGACGATATGAGGTAGTGGATATGCTCCTACCGCCACGACATGTAACCTACATTATAAATAATTAGACTTTCACAATTTATTATGTTTTATATTTTATTGTCTATGTTTTTCACAATTATGAAAAAAATCGGCATACAGTCCTACTCGTATTTTATGTTACTTTAACCTTATAAAATAGTGAAGTCTTAAAACTCTTTATAATTTCAAAATATTTTAAGAATATATGCCAATATGTTTCGAAAGCAATGATATTTATATTAAATCCTGCAAGAACTTGAAATATATGCAAGTTAGTAAAATAGAATTTTAATGTACTTATACATTAAAAGATAGCATTTATTGCCTCTTTTGACTTTGCGCCATAATTATAAAAAGTGCCTAATAAAAAGTTCATTTAAAAACGTAAACTGAATAACTGAGTACATATCTGAAAATATGGTGCGTTGAACGAGTATTGTAGTTAAATCAAATATCCATACCTATTAAAACAAGCAGTATCGTCTTACTGGCAAAACGCGCATGCGGCATTACTTCGTGTATCAAATTATATAGAGTCATAGCAATTAATAAAGTGCTATACTCGTACATTGCTTTGCTTAAAATGTTTATTATATTTAACATGAAAATTACTCACAAGAACAAGAAAATATTGTACTTATGACGTACTAGTTTAATGCCGAAATGTAAAGTCTGTCTAAGTAAATCAGCTCTATATAAAAACTAATAAATTGTAATAAATAAATTATCGAAAGAGAAGGATGTTATAATCCTTAAGAGTTTAACCTTTAAAAAATAGATGAAGCTTTATGTCACGACGAAGGAAGGTACTAAATTGTATTAACTCTACCGTGATTAACCTTTAAAGTTCTGGTTAGTCGATTATTAGATACTATATCATGTAGACAATTTTGATAACAATGACTTATTTCAATTACTCTTATAACATGTTAAGTTTAAATATATACCGCTTTTGCTGTTAAGTTAGAACATATACTGCTGAAATGTCTATACAAAAAAAGTACTGTAACCGTGATTTTAACATCTGATAGAAACTTAAGATCGCATTTACGCTGTATTCTGTATTCGCTGTAACGCTGCATTTTGTATTAATCAAAGTCTAAGGAGGTGACAAATTCTATTTATTTATATACAATGTTTTGATTGTTAAAGACACTTAGATTTATTTTATGTGTGAACATTGAAGCAAGAGAAACACTTCTTGAATCAAAACATGTAATACCCCTTTTTATGTGCGGGTGCTTTTTCAAAAGGAAATTATTTGTAAAATCAATCTAACTTTGTACCCATACTTTTATAACATAGTGCTATAGGTATTATTATTTAGTTTAAGTAACTATACCTCATTAAAACGTGATTGGGAATAAAATAAGAAGTATCTTGTGCAATATTTAATATTTTTAGTTAGTTGAATAATTACACGATATAAAAATTCACTTCCATTACATTAAAAAAGCTAGCGTATAAAGTAGTAATATCTCTTGCAATTCTCTTAAAATGCATAAAAGAGCAGCTTACTAAAACTAAAACATTTAATTAAGTACAATATCCATTTATTTATACTTTAAACATATTGCTTATAACAATACTACTCCAAAGGCGATTTATGATATTTTAAGGCTACATAAACTTAAAAAGTTTGGATCACGTTACAGCAATTTGAAATTAATTGCAAAATTTAAAATAAGTAACACACGTAAACATTAGCATTTAGCATTAGTTAGCAAGCTGATACAAGAGCACTGGGTTCCTCTCCCACGTTTACCACAAAGGTTACTGGGGTTTCTTTACGGAAAATATAAGGCCTAGGAAAAAGTTTCTTCGTATTTTATATACAAATTCAATGTATTTTTTTTAAAGTTTAATTATCTTATTGCCATCTTATAGGTAGTGACATAATCCCGTTACTGTAGAAATATTGGGATTTTTGATGGAAAAATTGCTACAAGTAGTTTTGACAGTCCTCTCTTGATATTAACCTAACACTATCCAAATAATTCTGAAGAGACCCGAAACAGGGGAAAATCTGAGGGTGCAAGGTCAGGACTATATGGTAGATACATTAACACTTCCCAACCAAGCTCTCTCAATTTTTTTCGAGTGGCTAAAGATGTGTGTGGTCTGGCGTTATCATGATTAAAGATCAATCCTTTTCTCATTAGTTGTTGGCAGTAGAGATCCGAATCGATGATTTTGCGCGGCGGTAAAAGCTCATAATAAACGATGCACTTCCAATCCTATCAGTCCGCTACAGTCTGTGGAACTTGACTACCCTTTGACCTTGATCTTTTTCGCACGTTACTGTCGTACGTGATCCACTTTTTATCACTAGTGATGAATATTTTCAAAAATGGTTCGGCTTCATTACGTTTCAATAGGAAATCACAAATGAGTACACGATTCATTTGGTTTCAACTTTTTCAAAAAATGGCACCGACTAGAGTGATCTACATCTTTGACATCAAAATTCCCGGACTGGTAACGCTTGAAACAACTTCGTGCAATTCTTAGGCGTACATTACACGCTCATGCAAGCTGTCAGTTTTACAACAATCACGGTTGTGATTGACGAATAACTTACCGTGTAATGCAGTGATTGACGCCTGCATGAGCGCGTAATGTACGCCTATCAGTTACCATCCGTTTTTTTATCATTCATGATTGATGGAATTAATTGACACCTGCATGAGCTTGTAATGTACGCCTTGGATTCACTCATTTTGGGGGACAGAAAAACAATTGAAAAATGGTGGGAAAGTTAATGAATTTTTAATTTTTATTTTTCTTTTTCTTAATGTCATATGTGTATTAATATTAAAACTTGTCACATACAAACAGTACAACGAAAGAGATTTTTCAAATTTCCTTTTAAAATACGAAGAAACTTTTTCACCGACCTATTGTAAGTAGTAGTACCCTGGAATTAAATATAATATTTAACTAGCTAACGGCTTAGCTTGCGTGGATTCAATTAAGCAGCATTATCAGTAGATCCTACTATTCCGTGCCAAAGTAAGGAATACTAATTTGTACTTAAAACGTTACGTAATTGTTACATTCTAATGTTATTTTACTTAGTTTAAATTGTTTGATGGGTAACGTATTGCAAATTTCAAGTATGCGTATAGTGTCAAATAAATATTTTTACATTTGTAAAATTTTGTTACAGCAAGATGATAATGATTGGATGGATTCAAACGATATAAGTGCCAGCAGATGGCCACCAACAGATTGGTACCCGCAGAATGCTCCAGTAGCGCCATCGCCAACAAGATACGGGTTATCAAGGAGGCCAGACTTGCCAGCACCACGCCCGCCACCAAACACTGGCCTGAACTTCGCTGTATACGACCCCGTGACTCGGCAACGCACAACTGCTGTCGACCGCAACTGTACTGCCACTGGGTGCTGTGTACCAAAATGTTTCGCTGAAAAGGGTTCAAGGGTATGTGAAAAACTTTGCTTTATAAATATAGAAGGAAAGCTTCCTGCGACCGTTTTGATCGTATGGTAATTTGTTTTAGCTACTTTTTGAAAAATTATATTCTTTATCCAGTAATGGTAAAAATTATTTTTTTCTTATTATATTTCATGTTTCAGGGATTTCCGGGTGTACCCGGACCACCAGGAATGAGGGGACTTCCAGGGCACGAAGGTGCGGAAGGTCCTCAAGGCGCTAAGGGTCAAAAAGGACAATTGGGACCACAGGGTCCTCGTGGACCCAAGGGTGATAGGGGAAAACCGGGCGCTCAAGGTTTTATTGGGTTTGCAGGACCTCCAGGACCACAGGGTGAACCAGGTATTCCTGGAATACCAGGAAGAGATGGATGTAATGGCACAGATGTGGGTGAATTTTTCTGAATTATAAAATATAGTTACTTTTTAATACACAAAATATTATATAATTAATTATTATGATTTTAAATTAGGGAGAACCTGGAGAAACAGGGCCCAAAGGGTCACAAGGACCTCGAGGTATACCTGGACCAAAGGGAGACAAAGGTGACAAAGGAGAAGCAGCTCATATGGGCCGATACCCTAAGGGTCAAAAAGGAGAACCGGGAGCTGACGGTATGCAGGGAAGTCAAGGACCCGTTGGACCTCCAGGGCCTCCTGGTGTACAGGGACCAAAAGGAAATACTGGACCTATGGTGAGCTATATTTACAAGTGTATAATATCAATAATAAATTCAACTTATTGTTTTCGCCTTATATATAATAACCAATATGTTTAACTTACTAGGGTCCACAAGGTTTTAAAGGTGACAAAGGTTCTAAAGGTACGAAGGGACAATCAATCCAAGGAGACAAGGGTGATAGAGGTGATAGAGGAGATAAAGGTCCAGGCTGCCCTTCTATAATATTACCCTCTGAAGATAACGCTAGTGCAATTAGAGGAGTACCAGGCGACATGGGTCCTAAAGGTGAAAAAGGAGAACCAGGAAGAATGGGTGACAAAGGTGATACTGGACCAATGGGTGAACCGGGTTTATCAGGGCAAATGGGTATTAAAGGAGAAAAAGGCATAAGAGGAAATCCCGGTGCTATTGTAAGTTTAAAAATTTTTATTCACTTTTATATACTTTTATACTCTTTACTTTTTATACAATTTGTCTATTGTGTAAAAACTAAAAATAGATGCAGTGTAAAAACGTCTCATTTTGGAGCACTGACTTGAACTTAGACTTCATTTCATTCTAAGAGGATTTAAAGCATGCCTCGTCGAATTAACACAGGCTTGCAGATTTTATGTATCCTCGAAATATATTTTATTTCTCAGGAATGCAGGTTTCCTCACAATATTGTCCTTCACCACCGAGCACGTGATGTGTCATTAGAAATCTAATAAGCGACAGTAGCCTAATAGCAGGGCGCGGACCGCGAACTCAAAAAGGTCGTGGGTTCGAATCCACCATTCGACTACTGGCGTGAACCACTCGTAACACAAGCAATTTAAGCTTACCACGAGTGGTAAAGGGGAATATTAGTAATGTTTATAGCATTGTTAATATTCTTTTTAAGAAAAAAAAAAACAAAAAAAATCTCAATCCAAATTTCATTGGCAGTGGTGCCAATCGAACTCGGTTACTTACTATGAAATTTTCTGGCGATCGGTTATATCTCTGATACCACGGCTTTTATTGAATCTGTAATATAACCACATTTAATTCAGTAATATTACAAAACCTTTATTTAAAAATTATACAAACATTACTGACAATTTAAATATATGGTGCTTGTTAAAGTCATATAATATGGCCCATTACACATTTTTATAAAAAAGTGACATTTCAGGGTAGAGACGGTATGTACGGTGCATCGGGACCTATGGGACAAAAAGGCGATCGAGGTAATGATGGACTTCCAGGTCTACCTGGGCGACCAGGTGAAAAGGGTGAACCTGGAAAGGATGGATTGCCGGGTCAACGAGGTCTAAAAGGAGTTCAAGGATTACCGGGTGGACGCACTGGTTCTCGGGGCCCACCTGGTCCTCCTGGACCTAGAGGTTACACTGGACCAGCTGGGCCTAAGGGTACCGATGGAAGACCTGGAGAACGTGGAGAGCCTGGGCCCATGGGTCCTCCGGGTGGTCAGGGAGAGCCAGGAACACCTGGAATGGAAGGTCCTGCGGGACACAAAGGTGAAAAAGGTGAACCTGGATTAGATGGCCAACAGGGTGAAACAGGACCACGGGGTTACGATGGCCCAGTTGGACCACAAGGACCAAGAGGAATTAAGGGCGAAGACGGCTTTTCAATACCCGTAAGTCAATATTGTTTATAAACTAAATTTGTTTTATTCTTTAAAACATTTCACACCTGAGAATATAAAAACATACAGACAACACAAATATCACTTATAAAATGACGACAAGTTTACTCTAGTAGAGAGTAGTAGAGAGTAGTTACCTAATTTAAAACTCCACACAATCTACCAAAAATACAATGGAGACGTCATTGTATTTTTGGTAGATTTTATAATATGAAATAAGTGAAGTAAATAATAAGGCCAAGTATGCCTGTATCTGAAAGACAATGTTGCCAACTCGAATTTTTCCAAATTCTTAGACTGGTATAAAAATGCCGTAGAATTCCGTAGATGCTATAACAAAAATCCGTAAACTTCTAGACTTTTAAAGAGGATCGAAATTTTTGTTTTTATCATAGAATCACATCAACTTTTTGAAAAAATTCTTTCTGTCATGTAAAATTCTTGTTGTAAGTTAAATTGTAGTATAACATTTAGACAAGTACATTAAAATTACCTTAAATTAAAACTTAAATTACAGTACTTAAATTAATACAAGATTGGCTTCATAAATACTAGCCAAAAGATGACAGTAGTATTTAACGCACCTTGAAATGGACAAATAATTCGGTAACAGCGCCATCTACACTTTCTGTGAGGTACTACACTGACCAATATAGTTCTAACAGTGAGATAGCATAATGGCGGAATTATATGTCAAATTCAATGTTTTCGCATTCGCAATTCATGACAAAAATGCTTTTCTTGTTAAGTTTTTAAAAACTCCGTAGATTTCAACCTCCGTTCAAATTCCGTAGTTCCGTAGACGATGACAAAATTCCGTAGATCTATGGAAAAATCCGAAGAGTTGGAAACGCTGCTGAAAGGAAGCTGTTGCACATTATAATATTTAAGCATCGAACAATGACACGAAAACAAACTATCCCACCGAATTTTACGTCATTATGGTCGCAATCTTCTATAACCTACATGGGATAACCTGATAGCAAACGAAGTTTGCGATTTTATTACATTGAGCTATTATGTACTACGTACTAGAGGCGACACTGCATTCAGCTACTCCGTTCCTCTCAACTGCGGTGCATACACCGCACTTTAATCAGTCACTCACTAGACGCTTGTAGAGTTGTCACGTGTTGTGTTGATTTTAAAAAAATCACTTGATAAAAATATGCAGTCGTGTGTACTTCGATATTGCACAAATAATTCAAGAAATGTCAGTAAAAATCAAGGAATTACTTTTCATCGGTTAATAAGATACTTAATCAATAAAAAAGTATTATAGATTAATAATTAAACAAATTATTCCTAAGACGTCACCTCGTGTCATGGAATATAGATTATGAAATTATTATGTTCAGATGGACATTTCTGTGGGTACTTAAGTATAGGACGAATATATTATTATACACATTTTTTTATAGAAACATATATAAATTATTATAATTAGGCAAAATTTTTCATGTTTAAATCTGCTTATTATTCTTTTATTTTATTTTTATGTTTCCACATCAAAGTTATAGTGGAATAAATTCGTCCATTTATACCTGTCGCGTGTCCAGCATTTATGAACGACTCTTATTCTAATTTAAATAAATATATTTGTAATTTAAATATTATGTTAATAAGTATTGTTAAACATACATTTAGTATGTTTTTTTATATTTGACATAGATTCCTTTTAAAATATTCAGATAAAATATTATTAAAATGTAATTTCGATATAATATTATGTAATATTATATTAAATAAGCAAATATAATATACAAAATAAATGACTGAATTTAAATATTGATCTCGATATAATTTATCTATTTAAAAATGTAATCTACTATTACCTACGGATCATTCTACCTATGTTTATTCTATAATAAAAAAACCAACCGCCCGAACACAGAGTAGTGCACAGTTTTTGTTTGAGATAGCTATTCTAGTACGTAAGTACATATTACTTCAATGTTTTATTACCATTCCGATACATCATAATATGTTGAATTAAAGATCTTCTCGCGAAATCATAATTTTGTATGATGAGGAATAAATTAAACTTTTACTATTTACTTTACTTTATTAACGATTCGATTACTTTATATTCGAATCGATCATAGATGTGTCTGTTTGTGATCGTATAACTTTTGAACGAATTGACCGATTGAGGTCATATTCACATATTATATTAGTATTGTTGATACGATGATTAACAGCATTCGATCCACTGTAGTCAGGTTATTAAAAATTCTGTATTTATGAACCAAAATAATTCATATTCTCAATATAATATATTGAGTTTTCGCAAAAAAAAAAGTATTACAAGGTCTGGACTCGATAAGTTATTTATTGAAACTCGTGCCAGCTACCGGAAAGGACGGAACAGTGACTGCTGAGCCAGCCAGTTCGTTTAAAGATTATTTTATACTTAGTATATAAACTAAAAGTCATCTTAATTTCCGCATATGTGATAGATGACGCTGTTTTAATAGGCTAAGGACTTAGATGGAATGCCTCATTTCCAGTAAAAAAGGGTCTCCGGTTCTCTATACTCATCATACGAAATAGAGCAACATTATGCCGCTATTTTACACTGGTATTCTGTGAGAGCGTGGTTCCTGCCTGATCGAGCTGAGCGAGTCATTCGTGCTACAACCACAATATAGTTGTACATAGTCTGGCTCTACCACGTATAAAACATTCTCTTAATTTCTCTTTATTCCTTTTGGTATGAACTAACTACCGCCATACCCAATCCATCCGTCCAGGCACATACACACATACATACAGACAGACAAACAAACACTCTAAAGACCGATTTACACTTCGACAAGTACAGTAGCGAGTTAACTTGCGAACCTGGCGAGTTAAGTTTGAACCTCGTTTGAACGGCAATAAGCGAGTTAAGTAGCAAGTTAACGATTAAGTTGAACGGGATAGCCGGTCGAGCTATTTTTCGGCGAGTTAAGTGCGAAGTGCTGCCCTCTCGCGCGTCTCCCGCCACCTGCAACTAAACTCGCCGTTTACGTAAACGAGCGAGTTTAGTTCAGTGCATAAGTTGACAGGACTCAACGTTTGCGCGCCAAAACGTACAATTGTACTTTTATAATTAAACTCGCCACAAAGTTTGTACGATACTGTTTATTGAGTATTTATACGTTTTATACTGAGTTTTAATAATAAAATGGACGGAAGATATCACGTATAAATTTGTACAGGAGTATTTAGAACACGAATTTTTATATAATAGTAGAAGTTCAAATTGTAAAATTAAACCTGCTCGAGATGCTACATTCATGAAAATTCTTAAAAACTTCTTTAACAACAACCATTAATACTCCTCTGACTGGATCATTTAATTCTTGACGTAATCCTAGAACCATCTTAAACGAAAACCAGAAAAATTCTGTAGTCTTGAAACGTCATACTCCAACGAACTCTATGAACTAATGTCCTTAACTAAACTCGCCACGAAAACATTGTTTGAACGCTACTGTCCACTTAACCGTTTACTGTCAACTGCCCTGTAACTAGACTCGCTACTGTGCTTGTCGAAGTGTAAATCGGTCTTAAAGGTCCCTCATTTTGCTTAAATATCACAATTTTACAATTTTAGATACAGATTTTCTACAGTATTATTGTATTCGTTGTGTATAAATTGTTATAAATACTCGTATAATGAGTATAAATTGTACTTTAAAAAATCGATGTTATTTTTTCTTTTTAGGGAGAAAAAGGTAACAGTGGACTGCCTGGTTTATCTGGTGAAAAAGGTCAAAAGGGTGAACGAGGTTATCAAGGGTTACGAGGTGTTCCTGGAAACTCTACCTTAGGAACACCAGGTAGTCCGGGTGAAATGGGTGCACCAGGAGAGAAAGGAAACAAAGGTAGTCCCGGTCTTGATGGTATACCTGGTAGTCAAGGTCCGAAAGGTGACATAGGTGGCCGTTGTAATGAATGCTGGCCTGGTGGTCCTGGGCCAAAAGGTGATCGTGGAATGGATGGACTTGCTGGTGAAAGAGGAGAAAGGGGACCTCCTGGAGCGATAGGACTACCTGGTGACCGTGGCGCAGATGGACTAAACGGATTACCTGGTTCAGCCGGAGCACCGGTAAGCTTAATAAAGTTGATATTTTGATTTTGTCTAGCCTTTTACCAAAGTATCAAAGTCGGCATCTATCTTTTTTCATAGAATAAGGGTAAGAATTTAAGCACACAGCCCATCTGATGGTAGGTGGACGCTGTGACCCATAGACTGAATGTGTTATCACCCCTGGGGGCGAGGAAGGAATGCCGTGTTTCCTGTTTACAAGTAATAATAGTGTCCGGTTCTCAACACTCACCATACGAAGCATATAGCTAATATTCACGCTGGTATTCTGTGCTCGGTCGAGCCGACCCATTTGTGCTACGGTTGTAATATTGCTGCAGTATACCTAACGTGGTAGAGACATACTGCAGCTATATTATGACTGGGAAATCTAATATAAATATTTTGACCAAATACTAAATGTTATCGCCGCAACCACCATCAAAAAACTGTAAACAGTTAATTACTGGAATTGAGCCTTCAAAAGTGAGTACAAAATATTTACCCCGTCATCTACACCGAAACGGATTGCTTTTTATTTGAAAAAGTACACAAATACAAAAATTTCATCTTATGGCCAGTGATTACTCTAGTCAAAATATTGAATAAAACTATTATTTACGGATTTTATCGCGTTTAATTACAATTTTAATTTATTTTTATTATCCCGACGTTGCCTTTTTTGCATAAATACGAGTACGTTTAATTGTCACGCGGACAGTAAACCTTTATTCTATCCTATTCATTTTACATATTAAATTTCAAGTGATTCAGTCTGACGAGGCATTTGTTTCTTTTTTTACATGTGTAAAATAATTTATGTATAAAACTAATGAAATTTTACATCACCCACTTCCAGACGACTGAACAATCTGAATTCTTTTCTTAAGCTTTGGGCATAGACTTTTAAGGTGACATTTTTCCTACTCCTTATACCATTATAGCCTAACAAAATTCCACTGCTAAACATAGGCCTCCCTGTAGTTTGCCTCACAGGGGGGATATTTGCCACAGTTGTTACGCTTGGCAGGTGAGTTCGTAACCACAGCTTTTAGTTTAATTATTGTTAGGAAAATGCTGTTAATTTGTTTGCCCATCTTCTGATTTGCTTCACTCTGTCGTAAATAACTCAAGAACTATATAACAGGTTTGTTTATAAAATTTGGGATCCTGGTTACTCATGGGCTTTTTATTTTGTTTGCAAAATTATAAATGTCTAATAGTTTTTGAGTAATGTAGGTACAAAATGAGTCGTGCTTTTTCCATCCGAACTGGATATGGATACTGGATGCACGTGAACAATTAGTGCAACAAAATAGATGACTCAAGTTTTTATTTACAATGTGATTTTCATGATAAAATACTTAGTATTTTTTCCTGTTTTTTTTTTTATAAGATCGAAGAGACAAACGAACTTGATGGTAAGTGGTTATTGTAGCCCATGGAAACAAAACCAACTTTATACAAAGAAGGCTACGGATGAGTTGTCACTTCTGAAGACTAAGAGGGAATGCCTCAAAGTCTCTAATCACAGGCTGTCTATATCCTTCAGTCTGAGTACACGGCGGCAATAATAGGTAAGAGGGTGGAACCTTCCAGACGGACTTCCGGGCAAAAAAGAACTCTTACCACCTAGCAGGTTATCTTGCAACGAATTCCCGTTTTTTTCTTTTGTTGTAATATAATATAATATACCGTAAAAACATACGTAATTGAATATCAATATACATAACAAAACTGCCTCGTTGGTCTAGTGGTTGTTGTAGTGCGACTGCTGATCATGAGGTCCTGAGTTCGAATCCCGGGTCGGATCAAAAAATTAATTATTGAGATTTTCCGTCAAGAAATTCTCAGTAGTTGCCCGGAGTCAGAAAGTTGGCGGTGTCTCCCCCCGTGCCTCGGAAAGCACGTAAAGCCGTTGGTCCTGCGCCTGATCTCTCGTCGGTCGTGTCGGTTTACCGTCCCATCGGTTTATGAGAGTGAGGGAGTAGAGAGTGCAACTGTGCTTGCGCATACACTTGGGCACTATAATCCTGTCCTGCGCCGATGGCTAGTCTCCGTTGAGGCAGGCCGCCGTGGCCGAAATTCGGCCTGGAGGATATTATTATTATTATTACATAATAAAAACATTTATAATAGTTTTGTTTGTTGGTGACCTAAACATATAACTGTGATTAATAGGGCGAGCGTGGCGACGAAGGACCAATGGGTCCTCCTGGAGACAAGGGAGCAGATGCACTTATACCATCAAGTTTGATTAAAGGACCACCGGGAGAAAAGGGATTACAAGGACCGAGGGGCTTACCGGGCCCTAAAGGTGAAAGGGGAAGTGACGGACCTAAAGGTGACCGTGGGCCTATAGGTATGCCTGGGCCAAAAGGTGACCAGGGCTTTATTGGACCTCCTGGTGCAGATGGTAATCCGGGTATTCCTGGAACCCCTGGAACTCCTGGAGCCAAAGGAGCTTCAGTTAAAGGAGAAAAAGGTACACCAGGAGATTTAGGTCGAAAAGGAGACAAAGGTTTCCCAGGATTATCAGGCAAAAAAGGTGAACCGGGTATGTGCCCGGCCAATTTACAAGCACTAACTAAAGGCGATAGAGGAGCACAAGGACCACCAGGACCTCAGGGACCGACAGGTGAGCATAAATTAATTTTATGAAAAGAACGAAAAAAGAAATTCAAAACAATTTCAATCTTGTTTTCCGAATTAAATATTTTGTTTGAATAAATTTTTATTAACGTACTTATTTTCCAGGGGACACGGGTGAAAAAGGAGACAAAGGTTTTGCCGGGCGTCCTGGAGATAAAGGAGATATGGGCTTGCAGGGTAGGCAAGGACCTGTTGGACCTCGTGGACTTCCAGGTCCAAGGGGAGAAAAGGGTGAAATGGGCTCAATGGGTTTCCCTGGTACTCCGGGAGAACTTGGACCAAGAGGTTTCCCAGGAATGCCCGGATTTAAAGGAGACAAAGGAGAAATAGGACCATCAATGCCGGGACCTCCAGGACCATCTGGTTTAACTGGACAAAAAGGAGAACAGGGACCTAGAGGATTACCGGGAATACCTGGTAACGATGGCCCTCCTGGAGCAACGGGCTTACGAGGTGAAAAAGGGGACATGGGATTAACAGGTAGACCTGGCGCACCTGGATTTCCTGGACAGAAAGGGGATGCTGGACCAGTTGGCCCACCTGGTATACCAGGTTTACCAGGTACACCTGGAAGGGAAGGTCCTAAAGGACGACAAGGATATCCAGGAGTACCTGGAAAACCAGGAGTTATTGGTTTACCAGGGCAAAAGGGTGAACCAGGTATGCAAGGGCCTGATGGGCCTAAAGGATTTCCGGGTGCACGTGGACGTCCCGGTCCTATAGGTATTACTGGAATAGATGGTATGCCGGGAGAAAAAGGAGACAAGGGCGAAGTTGGTTTTCCAGGCTTACCAGGGCCACCTGGCTTAAACGGTCCAATTGGTCCTGTTGGCGCTCCTGGGCTTAAAGGAGACCAAGGTTTTGAAGGTCCCCCTGGACCACCAGGCAGAATGGGTTTACCAGGCGATAAAGGTGATAGAGGTTTTTCTGGTGCTCCCGGGCCTAAAGGAGAACCTGGCTTAGCTTCAGATAAAGGTCAAAAAGGAGAACCTGGTATGCCAGGCTTAAGAGGCTTAGATGGCGCTCCAGGTATAAATGGTGAAAAGGGAGATAAGGGAGATGCTGGTTTACCTGGATACGGTCTTCCCGGTCCTGCTGGGCAAAAAGGTGATATGGGACCACGTGGATTAGATGGTTATCCTGGACAACCTGGAATAAAAGGAGATCGTGGATTTCCTGGTTTACCAGGACAGAAAGGTGATAGAGGTCTTTCAGGGGAGCCTGGCCGACCAGGAGCACCAGGTTTAGATGGAATGCCAGGTTCTCCAGGTGAAGTCGGTTTACCTGGACCAGAAGGCGCCAAAGGTGATAAAGGAGACAAAGGATTTCCGGGTCGGGATGGAATGGATGGACTTAAAGGAGAACAAGGGCCTCTTGGCCCTGTTGGCTTACCAGGACTAAGAGGTTTTACAGGACCTAAGGGTGACAGAGGTTTACCTGGATTATCAATAAACATCAAAGGAGACAAAGGTGAAACAGGTCCTCAAGGTAATACCGGTATGCCAGGAGAAAAAGGTGAAAGGGGGAGAGATGGAGAACAAGGACTGCAAGGAGAGAAGGGTGATAGAGGTGCTTTTGGACAAAAGGGAGATATGGGACGAATAGGATTCACGGGAGAAAAGGGTAATTTCCCTTGTTTATCTATGTTTCTAAGTTAAGTAGGTAACATAAGAATTAAGCATCGTAACATCATATCGTAACCTTAAGGAGCTATTTTTTTAAACTATTATAATTTTAATTAAAAGGTTATTCTATAAAGACCGGGAAGCCCATCAGCACACTTTTGATTATTAATTATATATAACAACGATGCAACTTAAAAGCTTGCGACAACTATGTCACAGTTAGCATATTTGGCTTCATCATTTATTTAAATTCAAATAGTTTGTTTTCGGAACTGCCTCCGTTATAATTGTTCCCATATTTATAATAGCTGTTTATTGAACAATTATTTGTAGGTCATACAAATACTCGTTCCGTGAGGGATTCAAACCTGTGACCCTTAGCGCTGTAACTCATTGCTAAACCACTGCCCCACGGAGCCGTTTAATTGGGCACATATAATTTCCATAACATGCTATAAAAGTCCACTGCTAAACATTGGTCTCTCCCATGGATTATCTCATACGTTCGATTAATGGATATTCTTACACCATCACTACACGAGATATAAAAGTAAAGTTACAGCCTATGTAGGGGTGTTTCTGAGAGGGTTTTAGGGCAAGGAAGAGTCCGCCGCGCTGCCCCAATGCGTGTTGGCGAACTTCACATGTCTTCGAAATATTTTTTTCCTTATTCCTCAGACATGCAGGTTTCCTCACGATGTTTTCCTTCACCGCCGAGCACGTGATAAATCAGCACTTAAAATTGAAATTAACAATTTCATTGGTGCCGGCGGGGATCGAACCCTGGTTACTCGCGTTCTGTTATATTTACAGCGAGCGTTAACCATCTGAGCTACCACGGCTCTAACTTGGTGGTCACCATTCAACCCTAATTGTTATAAGTGTTGTGTTGAATACTAGTATAGTTATTCTATTTCACGATGAAGGTTTCGCCTTGATTGTAGTAGTGACGTGTACTGACGTGTACTGCGTTTGTGTGTGTAACTGCGATTCGTTCAGCTCACGATCGTAACTGAGCGCTTCCGAGTCCTACGCAGTACGCACACTAACACAATGTGTTCCTCTATATGTGCACGGCTAACAACAACCAAAGTCAAAACCTTCATTGTGAAATAGAATATCACAATGATACATAGTATCAATCAATCACGCTTGTAAATTTTGATATTGGTCGGTGTATTGGAAGAAGAAAGAAAGAAAGAACCATTTATTTGATAATCACATTTTATACACAATTTAAGAAATATATTTAAATACAAATACAAGGGGCAAGAATATGCATGCAGAGGTGTAAAACTACTTACGCATTAAAAATTATTAATAAGCAGTACATGCACGACGTTAATTAATAAGGAAACAGAAAAAAACAAACAAATAACAAATTAAAAAAATAGGTCTCCAACTCAGCATGATGCTGCAAAGGCAGCGCTTGTTTTCAGTTGAAGCCTTGTGACTTCACTGTCAAGTCGGTGTGTGAACCTCCAATTGGCCACGAATTACGCTTAACTACGACTAATAGGCTAATTATTAGTTATAGAGTAATGTTAATGAACACAGGTTATACACACATACCGTATACATGTTGTATAGTTGTTGTACACATAAAATATTTGGCTCTATGGGGAAGACATCATCTTTTACTTTTTTTCATAAAACCTAAACCGCACGCAAAGTAGCAATAAAGTACACAAAGAGACACGCCATGTTGTGAGACCTGCTAGATTTTTTTACAAAATAAAAAGTGAGATTTAAACTAATAAATAGTAAATTAATTATTCATCAAAAATATGTAACAGAAAGAAAAACCCAGTTACCCAAATTATTCAATACCCAATTACAAAAAAAAATTGGTTACACAAATATGACCATTACTCGTTCAGGTTTCAATTGCAAATCAACAAGCTATAAATACCAAAAAAAACTAGTTTAACTAATTAACAAAAACTATGACATATACGAGTATTTGGTAGGCGGGTAATAATGCTTTTTATATACATATATTTGTCTTTGCACTGTTGTATGTACCGTTTGATAATACTCCAAATATACTCAATATTTTAAAAGACTTACCTAGTGCTCACCACTCAGAACAAATGGGTAAAAAGCGTAGAACCGAAATATTGCACTGGTAATACTGAAAAAAAATGGATATACCACCATTAGTCAGTCGCCAGAACCTTGTAGTTAAATAATAGTGTGCACTAGGTTCAGTTGAGGTAAATTTACACTTGTTCGATTTGCTTTTACAATATTTCTTCTTTTTCAATACAGGTGATAGGGGTCCTATTGGTCCTTCAGGTATTCCTGGGCTTACAATAAAAGGAGAAAAAGGTCTACCCGGAGCACCTGGTAAACATGGCCGTCCTGGGCAGCAAGGTGCCCCTGGAGAAAAGGGTGATCAAGGATTGCCAGGTCTTCCGGGTGAAATGGGTCCCCCTGGTACATCAGCTCCCCCCGGACCACGAGGAGAAAAGGGCGATCAGGGACGAGAAGGAATTGCTGGTCCACCCGGATTTGATGGATCACCTGGATTACCTGGATTACCGGGCATAGAAGGTGCAAAGGGAGACAAGGGTGAAAGAGGTGCTCCTGGTTTCGGTTTACCTGGTCAGAAAGGAGATCAAGGACCACAAGGTATGCCAGGACAGGTGGGACAAAAAGGGGATAAGGGAGATAGAGGTTTTGATGGTCAAAATGGTCAGCCAGGACCAATGGGCTTACAAGGTGAAAAGGGTGACCGCGGCTTCCAAGGTCAACCGGGTCTCATTGGTGCAACAGGCGAAAAAGGTGACAAAGGAGAAGCAGCTCAGTTCGTTTTTGGTCCCAAAGGTGAACCAGGACCACGCGGTCCACCTGGTTTGGATGGTCTACCAGGAATGGCTGGAAAGCCTGGCGCACCAGGTTTAGATGGTAGTCCGGGTATGAAGGGTGACCGTGGTTACCCAGGACCACAAGGGCCACCAGGATTACCTGGTCCTCAAGGTTTACAAGGGTTACAAGGTGAAAGAGGTGAAACAGGACGTACTGGACTACCTGGTGTTCCTGGAAATCCTGGAGCACCTTGCGTCACGACTGATTATTTGACAGGGATACTTCTTGTGAGACATAGTCAGAGTGATGCAGTACCACAGTGTGAGGCTGGCCATGTTAAACTATGGGATGGGTATTCTTTACTATACATAGATGGTAACGAAAAAGCTCATAATCAAGATCTTGGGTATGCCGGTTCATGTGTGAGAAAATTCAGCACTATGCCGTTCCTATTTTGCGATCTGAATGATGTTTGCAACTATGCTAGCCGAAACGACCGAAGTTATTGGTTATCTACGGGTCAACCAATTCCAATGATGCCAGTGGAAGGCAATGAAATCATGCGATATATATCTAGATGCGTGGTTTGCGAAGTTCCAGCAAATGTTATAGCGGTTCATAGTCAGACACTTGATATCCCCAGCTGCCCAGTAGGCTGGCGAGAACTATGGATCGGATACAGCTTTATAATGGTTAGTTTTTTATTTGTTTGTGCATCACATCTTTTATTTATGTATTATTACGAAATTAACAATATCCAATTTTGTTATTAGCACACGGGAGCTGGAGGTCAAGGTGGCGGCCAAGCTTTGGCGAGCCCTGGATCGTGTCTTGAAGATTTCCGAGCAACGCCATTCATCGAATGTAATGGAGAGGGTGGCACATGCCACCATTTCGCTAACAAGCTTAGTTTCTGGCTTACAACTATCGAAGACAACAAGCAGTTTGCAATGCCTGAACGTGAGACATTAAAATCTGGACGGCTATTAGAAAGAGTATCGAGGTGCTCAGTTTGTATCAAAAATACAGTTTAGCATACTTGTTATACCATTACATTAAATTAAGTAGCTTTTGTACACAATAAATCAAACAAAAAATAAACAACGATCGAATACAATAGAAGTTATATATTATACTATATATTTTTTTAGTACTTTATTGTAATCGATAATAATAAAATTGCAAACTGTAAATGAAATAATTACCACATAATGAAATAATATAGGTTCGGAATTGTAAAAATGCAGTTCCATTACATAGTGGTTTGTTTTCTACAAAATAAATGTACACCAAAGTAATTTATAGATAAGATTTTCATATAATAAGTAGCAGAGTATTTAAATTTTAGAAAAAAGCTTACCGTCGTGATTTCGCAAATTATTACATTAATCCTTAAATACTTTATGCTTATATTAAAATAAATCAGTCTAAAACTTTAAAGTCGTACGTTTGATATATTTTAATATTATTTAAGTTCAATTTCTTCACTAGTCACTTTAAACAGTTTTGCGAGCGTACTAAGCATATTTATGCTCGAGTGATAAATTAATATATCCAGTTATTTCTTTTATATATTAAAGTCCAATATATTTTTGTTCATGCAGATTTATGTCAGAAATAGATTCCGTAATAAATTAAGTAAGTACTAGTATTTTGCTTATTACGGTAGTTTTTGGAATAAGCGTATCATAATATTATTTTTTACAAAATTGGGTAGCAAAGTCGACAAATTTAATATAAATATTGTTGTAAGCACTTCCATTGTAGATAAATTAATGTTACTTAGTTACTTTAAGTATATTCATATAAATAAATAACTTAAAAAGTTTCGAAGTGTTTTAGTATTCCAGAAATTATTTGTCTTTTTACACTTTCTAGCACCATTAAATACCGGTCGACACACACTTTTCACACGTTTGTAGTATCATTAAACGTACGTTTTGACCAAAGTATGCTTTTGTAGAAACCAGAGGCAATTTTTGAACTTTAAGAAAAATTACTGAACTAATTCATAATTTTATTACAAATTTCAATCAGAATAATTTTGCTGGACATTGGAGTATTTTTAAATCAAGAACAGTGATTATGATTAGTAATAGCATACAAATGTAAAATAATAAAACATCAAGTACAATTAGGTACCTATATAATATTCTTTTTATTGATTTTCTCATGTTTCTATGGACTTTCTCGTATTAAATCCCAAATGTAATCTTCCATTATATTTTTGTTGTACTGTCCTTGGTAACGTCATTTAAGTTGATCACAAGTTGGTGAAAATGCTCTTCTTGCTCCTCTGGTTTGATTCAGGTGAGTGTGTAGCATATGAAGTTTATGGGACATTCAGCACACCTTCATTTTAAAGCTTTCAAGTATAGTTTCAATCAACTCTTGATAATTGTCGGCTCTGTTGTTTCTGAGAAAAGCATTTTCCTTAAGACTGTTTCAGGCTTGTTTTCACTTGTCAATACGCAATAGTAATCGTGTGAAGTCATCACTTTTCATTATTTATTTTTTATTTGTGTTTTGACGAAAATATCTGTTTTTACTTTAGCTTAAGATAATTTGTGAAAGAAACCCTTTAAATATTTCAAAGCTTCAGAATTTTGATTTCACAAATTGTTTCATAAGGCCTAATTTTATATGCAACAGCGGCATTAACATATTCTTAAGCTCTACAACTGATTCCCACTTGACGGTATGTTTTCCTTTTTTTTTAATACTGATGTTTTGGAACGGTTAAAAAATTGCAAATATTTCAAATATATACTGTTTATTTAAAATATATGAGAATTGAGATCAATTGAGGTTAATTCTGATAATTTTCCCGTTTATTAATAAGAGGTGTTGAGTATTCAAGTTACAATAATATTAATATGTACGATTTTTTTTAGATTTTAAGTTTTTTTTTCTTTCATAAGTATTTTTACAGTTAACACAAGCAAAGTGATGTACACATTTTTTTATCTTGATTCCGAATTCGCAGGTTAAAATAGACTTCATAAACTTCACAGAGCTTTAAATTTGTTGTATAAGAATTTTTTTTGCTTCTTACTTTAATAACTTCACCACAAATAAAACCGAATGAATCAACACCATGTTTGACGCCATTTTCCTAACTCAGTAATACGCAAAATCGCTAGATAGACAAGTAAACACTCACTACTGTGCCCTACGCAAATATTATGCAATTTTCAACCATTTGGATCAAAGTACTATCACCAGACTCTCGGTTAATTTATTAAAATCTTCAAAACTAACTAACGACTTAATACAGGCAAAAGCAAACATTAATAGATAAGAATAAATAAAATATATAATAAACAGAAACCCAGGTAAAATGTTTTATCGACCTTTGTAATCAATCAATGGACCCTGTAGTGGCGGTTAAGAATATCCACTAACCCATAGCTTCCCGTGGGTGTCGTAAGAGGTGACAGAGGGAAACAGGCAGAAGATGGGCGGCAGCATCTTCCTGATAACAACAATAATACAATAAAAACCTGCGGTTACCAACTCGCTCGCCAAACGTGGCAACTATGGCAATATACCTCCATGATGAGAGTTACGAAGAAACGGCCCCCAGTCCCTGGCGGCCCCGCTATTCCTGGCTAGAGTGGCGATCACGGTAACGGTGGGACAGGGGGTGTCCCACTAAGACAACTCGACTGGTAACATATAACGCTCGCATCCTGAGGACTGACAAGAAGATCCTGGAGCTGCAGGAAGAGAAAGACAAGTTGAGCTGGGATATTAAAGGAGTATCCTAGGTCCGAAGAGAGGTGGAGGGCACGGTAATCCTTGAATCCGGCAATTTGATTTATCACCGGGAGTGCGATCATCTGTCCCAAGGAAGTATTGGATTTATCGTCTACAACTCTCTCGTCAACAACGTTGTAAAGATTGTGAATATATCAACGACGGTTGCGTCCTTTATACTCTGAACAACCAAACGGTATTCGTTGTAGTTCATACAGGTTTATGCACCAACCTCATCCCGATGAGGAGGTGGAGGAAAAGTATGACGATATCTCTAAAGCCATGCATTCCTCCAAAACCCACTATACGGTGTTAATGGAAGACTTCAACGCAAAACTTGATATAAGAGAAAACGGTGAGCAGAAGGCAGGGAAATTCGGAATAGGCTAGCCGAACAGAAAGAAGGACTCTTTATGATAAACTGTTTCTTCCAGAAGCGGCTCCAGAGGAAGTGGATTTGGTCAAGCCTCGAATAAGATTGACTTCATTATGACGTCTAAACGGCAACTGTTCAGTGATATTTCAGTAATCGAAAGGCTGAAAACTGGCAGCGATCACCAAATGGCAAGAGGTGCACTGAACCTAAACGTTAAGTTGGAGAGGTCTCTACTAATGAAGTCAACGCTCCGTCCCCCTCGTGCTCTAATCCAAAGACCCAAAAAAAACCGTTACAAAACCGTTTTCAGTGCATAGAAGACTGCAATAGAGTGGACGATATGTATGACAAGCCCGTGGAAACTGTCCATGCAGTCAGAGTCGAGTCGATTCTGTAAAACCGTCGCAGAAGAACACAAAAACTCTCCTATCACGCTCTTAATCTCATGGCTGTTAGACGGGAAATGAAGCTGCAGTCTTCAGCAGATTTGACAGCATACCAGATAGATCTCCAAATGCATGTGGCGGGACTTACGCGACTTTAATACAGTTCGTACTGAAAAAGCAACCGAGCGGAATCAGGGCACCAAAGTCTTTGCCAGAGAATTGTCAGCCAGAAAGAGTCAAATATCAAAGTGGAAGACCAAGTGTTTGACCAAGTGTGACCAAGTGTCCCGGAAACAAGGCAGCATTGTTTCCGGGACACCTGAGATTTCGAGTGAAATTGAGAGGTTCTATGAGCAGCTGTACATTGGATTGGTGCATTGGAGCCACACGCAAGTGTGAGAAACGATCCAAGAGCAAGTCTTATCCGACACTATTCCTATGATATCCCGGACGTCAGTCTGAACGAGATTAGCATGGCTCTCCAACACCTTAAAAACGGCAATGCCTCAGGTAAGGCGGGAATTACAGCCGAGCTTCTGAAAGCGGGTGAAAAACTGGTACTTAAAGTCCTTCAGAGGCTCTTTAATTCCTTCCTATATGGATGGGACTACTTCGATGGTGTGGTGTGAAAAGTGCGGTGGTCTTGTTTTCAAAAAAGGCAAAATGGACGCCGTTATCATAACACCGGACGACGTAGCTGAGGCGGTCCGCAGGGCTCCGAACTGGAAGAGTCCGGGGCTTGACGGACTGCATCACTACTGGTTGAAGGGGTTCGTTATGTGTCACGCTGTGCTCGCCCGACAGTTTCAAGAGGCTCTCAACCAGAAGTCGCTCCCGAGCCTCTTCACTACTAGGATCACCCATTTGGTTCCAAAGGACCAGGGTACCACAGTCCCGAGCAAATACCGCCCCATCACATGTCTACCGACCACATACAAGACACTAACATCCATTTTGAGCGCGACAATCACTCGTCACCTGGACCTAAATCAGGTGATGTCGCGCGCTCAAAATGGATGTCGGGGCGGCGGTCGTGGAACTAAGGAACCACTCCTCATTGACGCGGTCATTGGCAAAGTGGTGAAACGCAACCGTCGGAACTTTTCCGCCGCCTGGATAGACTACCGAAAGGCATTTGACTCGGTGCCCCATACATGGCTAGAGGTCCTCGAGCTGTACAAGATTGACTATACAGTTCGAGACTTCCACGGGAAATGTATGGGGCAGTGGAGTACGATCCTCTGTCATCTATAAGTAGTAGCAAGAAAACATAGCATTATTAGACCATCCGCCGCACAGCCCCGACCTAAGCCCTAATGATTTCTATACTTTCCCTAAAATAAAGAATAAATTGCGTGGACAGAGATTTTCATCACCTGAAGAAGCTGTGGACACCTACATTCGGAAGAAACGAGAACGGCCATTTTGTAAACCCCAACTTCCGAATGGAATGGTTGCTTCAATAATTGGTTCCATCGTATGGAAAAATGTGTCAAATTTCGCGGAGAATACT